TGCTAGCAAAGCAAACATTTGTCTTAGGAGTTTGAAACTCACTGTCTAAGTTTCTGGGTTGATTCAAACACGTTTTGGTCGGTGCATTTCTTTTCATTTCTCGAGTTGAGGCAGATTTGTACTTCGGGCGTAAGGGAAGTTCTCTCTAGAAAACTATACACCAGTGGTTTAATTTTTATAGTAATATTTTGATTATTTTGTGAATTTCATTTTTACAAAATTTTTCAATTTTGTAAAATAGCATTCTTGTGTATTTGTTATTTATGAATCCGCTTTGAAATTTTTTCCGAGGCATCCAAATTTTTACATTTGATCGAATCTTAAAAACCCTATGTATCATGTTAGATAGTTGTTACACTGTACGTGTAGGAATTAACATAAGTGCCCTTGCTGAAATAATGTTGATCGGAACATTTTCAAATGAGAAAACTCACTAGAATTACACACATAGTCTTGTCCTTACTCAAGGCCAAATATAAGCAAGTTAACAGAGTGTGTTTTCGTAACATAATGTGCTCGAATTAAAGACACTGGCGGAGTATGGTGAATAAAGTATGATACATTAATAATTCAGAAAAACAAGCTCTAGAAAAATATACAGTGTCATTAAAAAAAGTTGGATGTCGTAGACAAACACAAATAAAAATATGTGTGTCTAAACACATTCATAGGATTTACCTTCTTATATTGTTAATGGTATTATATCTATATTTATTTCAATGTAGAGAGGTTATCACAAAGGAAAGTTGACAAAATCATAAGCGGGATTTGTTGGAAATAACTTTCGACCAATCTTTTTTAAATATATTTATGTGTGTAAGAGAACCAGTTTCAGAATAAAATATGTTATATGAGCTAAAGATAGCAAGGATTTGGATTATTACATTTACTAGACCAGTGCTATTAAGAGTAAAAAAAATTGGTCTAAAGCGTTTAGACAGTACTTCCCTCGCTGTCGGGAACGTGACGACTGCAATCCTATTATGTCTTTTTTCGTATTATATTTTTGTAATTCTTGATTTAATTAATAAAATTAATTGAGTCAGTCATTAATTTTTTTCAGACACCCTGTATAAGCAAATCTAAAAATATTAATGTAGTGATAAATCACAAATATAAACTCATCATTCTTTACACATTTAAGCATTTTTTCAGCAAAATTTTGCGGTGGCGTCATCAAATTTTTGGGGGGGATGAGCAAATACATTTTGACCATAATTTTACCATATGCTTATGATAAATTTAAAACATCTCCAAGATTTCAAAGCATTCGGTTTTGTAGTTCTTGATTAAATCAATAAAATAAATTCACACTTGCATTAATTTTTTGATATATGCAAATCCAAACAATATGATAAATCACAACTACAGACTCATCATATTTTGCACATTTAAGATAGGATTTATTCAGCAAAATTTTGAGGTGACGTCATAAATTTTTAGGAGGGATGAGCAAATACATTTTGACCAAAAATTTACCATGCCTATGATAACTTTAAAATATGTCCAAGATTTCAAAGCGGATTAAATCAATAAAATAATTCACACATTCATTAATTTTTTTGAGTCACCCTGTATATGCAAATCCAAAAAATATGAATGAATGATAAATCACAAGTACAGACGTCATCAATTTTTTGGAAGGGATAAGTAAATATATTTTGATCAAAAATTTATCATGCTTGTCATAACTGTAAACCATCTGCAAGATTTCAAAGCATTCGGTTTTGCAGATTCAAAATTAAATGGCAAAATGTTGTTTTACAATTTTGATTTTTTTTCCAAAAATCTGGACGTTTCGGGTAAAAACTCAATTTTGAGTCATAAACTACATATGTAGGACTATGTTATTTTATACAATGTAAAACCTATTTACTATATACAATTTTGAACTGACGTCATCGTATTAGTGGTGGGGATGATTAGACAAATTTTGGTTAGCATTTTACCATCTACATGGTATTCCTAATATAATAGAAATATATTTTGATAATTTTTTTTTATGTTTATCATAACTTTAAAACATATGAAAGGTTTTAAAGCATTTGGTTTTGCAGATTCAAAATTAAATTGCAAAATGTCGTTTCATACTTTTGTTTTTTTTTCAAAAATCTGGACGTTATTTTATATAATTTAAAACCTATTTACTATATACAATTTTGTAGTGACGTCATCACATTATTGATGGGGATGATTAGACAAAGTTTGGTTAACGTTTTACCATTTATAATACACATATAAAAATCGACAAAAATCGGTCCAATAGTTTCGGTGATTATCTGTCTAATAAAAATTTAGACAGACGGCAGACAGATAGACAGACAGACAGACAGACGGAAACGGGAGACCTATTTCTTCATACTCTAGAGGTCATGAAAGGTCGAAAAAACGTAAGAGTAGAGAGTTGGTCGATGGATTCGATTTCGCTTACGCTCGGGAAGCAAAAATGTAAAGAAGTAGCAAATTAAAAAAAAAAGTTTGAACTAAAAACTCTTGTAAAATAATACACTGCGTTAAATTGGAGTCTGTCAATACACAAAAATTTCTGCTTAAAAATGTATTAGTTGCTTTTTAGGCCAACAGTTAAGTCTTCAAAAAATCATAGATGAAATTTAAACAGATCACACGAAACCATCATAACTATAAAATCTTGGAATTGCTCTCAAAATATCGGCAATGTAAAAAAATTGTTTGACCTGTTGGAGTGGTTTTTCAAAATTTCTTTTATCTATCTGATTCCTCTAACTAAATGAAAGCTTTAAAAGCTTGTGATCGAGTGATCGAGCTTTCAGAATATTTAAAACTCAACACGACGGGAATTTTCGTAAACGTGTAACGTAAACTTTGAGGACTATAATTAAGAAACGAAAGTGATATACCCAGGTAAAAAAGATATTGTTGTATGATATCTGATACAGAAAAAGGTGATTTTCACACTAGCACGGAAATAAAGTTTTTGAAGTCATTATAACTATTTTTTCGTGTACATTTTGTAATGGAAGAGAAAATTTTGAAATAACTTATAGTGGTTGTCCATAAGAATAAAATCAAGTTATGTGGTTTGTCACGTGATAGAACCTTTTATATATTTTCTATGGTTGTTTTATGATAACTATAAGGGTGTGAAATACATTTGTTAGAAAAATCATATCGCTTTGTGTAATTCACATGAAATGTTGGTAAGCGAAGGAAAAAAGTACAACCAGAGCGGGATTCGAACTCACATCTTCCGTTTACCGAGCGGCTATGTTACCAACTACATGATCCAAGCTGCTTAATCTTACCTCGCATACCCTTATATTATTGTACCAATTGTTTTGTTTTAATATACATGTTGTGTTTTACGATTTCTTTCATAGATAAGTTAAGCTTTATTTATTTTATGTATAGTAACAAAAGAACAATATCTAAATTATCCTTCTGATTGGTGGAGCACTAGTAATAAATAAAAAAATGTTGAAAGTATATTAAAGTTGAATTTAATGAAGACACCAGTAATAGAGATGTAGAATTTTATATTCTAATTTATATGAAATATTTACAATTTGGTACCTTTGAAGAGAAGCCCGATATTGACTAATAGATACTAGAGAGTACGCACTCACGTCTCAACGTGAGGAGATTATCAACTAAAAAAATTTTGAGGTACAAATGAAACGGACGAAGTATACATGACAAAATATTTTTCATACAAACATTTACTTAATTTTATTAGAACCACGTCATTTTAAATCACTATGAAAATGCAATAAGAAAAAATATGTTTACTTTCGATTCGTCGTTTTTGTCATATGGTGACTTTTTTCTATTATCTAACCTGATGATAAAATAATAGTCTAGAAATCCAGGTAAATATGTAAACTGAAATGTAGAGTTAAAAAAATGCGTTTGTCTTTATTATACCAGAGCTGAAAAATAATTTGTTAATCTTGTTATAATTTTATTAGTTTATTAATGCCAAATTAAGGTATTCCAGACTGTAGAATTGAGGACCATGATAATATCACAATAATGAACAATAAATAAATATTGATAGCTTACATAAAATTTATTTCGAACGTCATTTATCATAAGTACAGAAAACATATGTGTTCATACCGATTGAGATGCAAATTACTATCATTTTGTTTCCAAATAAAAATGTTCAAAAAAGAATTGTTACTACGTAGGTACCAGTATGTGTTACATTTTAATATATTATACACACACCCACCTCCGGGTACCTTCGTTGTTTAGAAATTTCTTACGACTATAATCTTTATTGAAGTTAATTAAAAAGTACAAAATGCGTTAGAAACTGTTCTAAACTAAATAGTATAACACAAATATCATATGCCAGAAGTTATTTACTTTTTGGTCAATACAAAAATATAAAATTTGCCAATTTTATGCTTCGTGCTGTATAAATTATGTATCCTATTCCACACGAACGTGGTTCCAGACAGCTTTAAACATTGAATAATTCAAATGTTATTCTACTGCTTCGTAAGACTAGTTATGCATTAAAATGGAAATTATAAATAATTTTGAGATTTATTTTAATCTAACGACAACCTATGCATTATTAAACTGATGCCACCTTATGGACAATGGAATAATACAGCATGATGAGGAATTAGGTGACCCCTCCTAATTAACGTAATGAATTCGACACAGACCAGAATTTAAATACGCTAACAAATTCCCAATAGATTTTAACACCAGACTAAATCAAGACTGTAACCGTAATAGCGACGAATATCTTAATTTCGGTACACATTAGCCTCATTTTAAACAACGTGTTTCCCTCCATTGTAGCTGAAGAACAAATCGTGCGACAAAGTTACAAAGTTGATTTGATATTTGTTTTGATCACGCTCGTCAACATCGCAATTAGCTTCGTTCGTAACTCAAAGCAATAATTTCTTCTAATCTGTAATTACCCCAACAAGTCTTTCAGTTAGCCGGAAAAAAGGTGAAACGGCATTTAATAACAGGCTGCCGATGACGTCACAACTTACCTCTTCGGTTGCTACCACCAAACTCAATTTCCACAGTCGACACATAATGCAGCAAACACAAACACACGAAAGTACTATACTTCATTTTGTCTATAGTTCGAAGATTTTTTTCGGGCCTATAAACTAATGGGCATGTTGCGCGTACTTTTCGGGTCGGACACTACTCATTGACGAAGAGCCTGTTGTAAAACCCGTGGTGGTGAGGAGCCGGTAGATGACTGAAGACTTGCTGCTGGTCTGTCGGCCACCAGAGCATCCCAAGTGGGTCACTGGGACAGTGTAGCGGTCTTCCTGAAGACACCTCCTGCCCCTCTAGTATCGTGTATACACCTGCCATAAGACGATGTCAGTTGTATGAAATTATAGGTAGCGCGAGCCTCTTTGGGTGGAATGGAACGCTTTCGCTAAAGCGGCATTTTTGCATAATTTTACCAAAAAGGATATTGTTACACTTCGGAGTTGAAAACTGGATGAGAGGCGAATTAACTAGTTCGTATGAAGGCGCCGAGAAAACGTCGAGGTAAAAATTGAGTTAACGAAGTGGAAGTTTGGAAATAAAATTTTTGCTAGTGGAGAGGACTTCTGGGGTATCGAATAAGGCAATTATGTTTCGTGTATTTATTTTAATTACATAAATTGTGATGTACATACAAGGAAATTTAATCTAACATATAGTGTAACAAAAATCTTATACGATAAGATACAAATTCAGTGAAACAAGAACTCATTTTTACTTTTAGAGCCTGAGTACGGCTTGGAAATGTTTGTCCCCATTTCCGTCTGTCTGTCATCTGTCCGTCTGGTTTGGTGACGACTTTATTAGATAAATAATCTCTGAAGCCACTGGACTGATTGCTGTGAAATTTTAGGCCTACTTTACGATTGTTGTGTAGACGAAAAATAAAAAATGATGGCGTAATCTCACAATTGTAATGAATTAAAATTTAAAATTTAAATTATACGTAGTATAACTATACTAAAAATAAAATAAATTTATAAAATGAAAATTATTGATTTCCCTTAGACTCAATGTTACGAAAATGTTTAAATTTGGATTAGTATCTTCCATTGAATGTTATTTATCTTTTTTAGAAAATTCATATTGTTATCTGAAAAATATATTAAATAAATGTCTACTAAAAAGTTGTCCTGAGATACAATGTTGTCTGTGATTTGACAAAAATTTTATTTTCACTGAAATGTTGATGACGTCATCACTTGAAATATGTTGAATATATATGACTAAAACAGTAATTTCCTTTTTAATCTCCAAGGATTATCAAACAAAAAAAAAACAAAATTTGCCGCATCAAATTTTACAAAAACTTCTAAAAAGCACTAGAGACCCAGATTACTTGAAATTGTTTCAAAAACAAAAATCAGAAGCATTCAAGATTCTTTTAAATAAAGAAAAAGATATTAGCTACCCCAAGATTTTTTCAAATTCTTAAAAAAAAACAGAAACCCCCAGATTCTTTCTAAAATAAAACACAGAGTAACAACGTTTTACAGTCCTTTTAAAAATTAAATACCAGGTTCTCCATGTTATTTAAAGTCTGTCAAAAACAATGCACCAGAAGTCTTCAAAGATTCTTTTAAATTCTTCAAAACCAAAGGCGCTAGAGAGTGGAGTCCCAAAGGTTTTTCAATGGTTCTTTTAAAAAAAAAGACACCAGAACCCCAAAAACTCTTTCAAGTTTTTCCAAAACCAAAAAATTTGGAGCCTCCAGGTTTCTTTCAAAATCTAAAAAAAAGATATTCGTGACGCTAAGAGTCTTTCAAATTCTTTTCTCGCCCCTGGAGTACAACAAATATAGCTTTTTCGAATTATAATTTTTTGAATGACGTCATCACTATTTTAGCAAGAATGAATTTGAATAGGGACTAACAATATCGGAACTGTATTTTCAAAATTTCGGAAAAATTCAGTTAACTGTTTTTGATTTGATCAATAAAATAAATTGCTTCATTCATTAATTTTCTTGAATCGCAATTAAGCAATTCTAAATAAAAAGTACGGTCCCCGGAATTTACAAACTTTCCGTAATAAAAACTAAAATCATGGTTTCAGAAGGTACAAAATACACCGTCTGTCGCTCATAAAGTACGACTTTCGTTGTTTATAAAATAAAGCGTTTCTTACTTAGGGCTAATATAAAATTTAAAAAATCTATATGTTTGAGTAAAAAATAAAAGGGGTTCATAAACCACAAGTACACAAGTGTCTTATTTTATGAAATCTAAGTACCTAACATTTATTATGAAAAATTTTCATATGAGATCATCACTTCTTGACGCAAATAATCATACAAATTTTGACTTGCGATTTACCATCTATACGATATTTCTAAAGTATATAAAATTTGGCAATAATCGTCCAGTAGTTTCGGAGCTTTTCTATCTAAAATGTACCGATGTAGACAACAGACAGACGGAAACGGGAGACGCATTTTTTATATTCTAGGGACCATTAAATGTCGAGAAAACATGAAATTAGCGGTTCACTAGATAACTAAGTTACGTTCTGAAGTAAAAAACAGTCATCTGCATAAAAAAGCGGTCACCGCATAGTGACTCGACCATGCCGAAGTGACCCGAAGTAAACCAAAAAACTGACCCTTAAAATATTCTGAAAATTTATGCTGAGTCGACATTGGCCGAAGTGACACGAAGTAATTCAGAAAATTTACCTAAAACGTTGTGAACAGTTTCTGAAATTTTTACGTTTTCCTATATCTATTTCCTCATAAGTATGAGCCAGAACCCCCACTATGTAACTACTCTTTTTAGTTTCCATGCGAAAGCTAGGGAAGTATTATAATTTATAATAGAGTAAATTTAACAAATAACAAGTTTTATGTTTGTGGCGACATTTTATAACTTTTCATAACGTTTCATAGACTATGAAAAAATAGATTTCTCGTTTCCTATTGTCTATCCTCTGGCTTTCGTGTGTTAATCTGATGACGCCATGTCAAAATTTTGTTAGGTAATGCCGAGCTCAATTTTTATTTTATTTTTTTTTTATTTTTTTTTATTTGATTACGTTCCCCAACAGGCCGGAGGCTCAATTACAGGGGAACGGGGGACATACACAACACCCAGAGCCGGGCGGGAATCGAACCCACGACCCAGGGTGTAGCGGGCAAGCACGAAGCTACCTAACCCACCCGGGTCCTCAATTTTATAAAGTAATATACTTATATTTGTGATTTATTAATTAATCGTCGCTTTTTTGTATGTGGACATCTACCACGTGATCAGAAACAATGACTGAATCTGTTGGCAGTACTTTTTAAACAAAAATGTGAACTTTTCCTACGTTTATGTTGGCATTGTGTGACAGATATATATGTGAATCGTGACAAGCGATAAATGTAGGTTATGTTTTGGATACATCTGGCAAATTAAAAATGTCAACAATCTGTCAATCTTGACAGCCGACAACCGGAAATGACAGAAAACATCATGATACCAATTTCAACTAAAAATTCAGGATTGCCAACAGACTCAGTACAAACGGTACAATATTTTACAATTCAACTTGAGGCTTCGTAACTTGCGACTTCTCTGAAATACTGCAATCTCTCATGTATATATTTAAACTTGAGGACATCATCTTAAATACTGGTACATACATTATATTTAAAATATTCTTAAAATATTGTGTTGGCAATTCTGAATAATTGGCAGCCAGTATGTCAGTTCACAGTTGCTAATGTGTTGAAAAGATGGCACTTACTGACTTACTGTCATAATTTCCAATTTCACAATCGAATACGCTATTATAAAATTTTCAATATGTAGCCGACCTGACAAAAAAATACAAAAATTGATAGTCACTCGGTATTCTAACTTTCAGCAGTCTTCATAAAAAAATAAAATTCGCAGAAACAAATTTTAGAATGAACAAAGAATAACTATAGACCACTTATAGACCACTATAGAGTTTCCTTGAATTAACGAAGTGTTAATGATATGAGTTAATATTGATCGCCAGTGGTCAAACACTTACAGGTACAAATAATAGTTATTACAAACTAATTAAATCATTTTGTAGAAGTTAATAGGCTAAACAAAATTTCTTAAATTATTAAACAATGTTTTAATGAAGCAGCATAGTTGGGAATATAAGGACGGAAAATTGTTATAAATTTACTGTCATTAACTTACTGCATCAACTAATTTTAAACAATCCTCGATTTTGTGTTAATTTTGAAAAATATGTTGAGTTACATTTGATTTTTCAATTCTACCAAGTGTTATCTGATCCACACGTTCTTTGAACTTTATAATGATTGAACTTCTTGTCTGTCTGATATATTTTTGATTATAATATAACCTTTAAAACTGAAGTAAATCCCGGACTTTTTCTTTGATCCTGCTTTATCCTTCGGATCGTCGAGAAACCTTTAGAAGCTCGGCTTGCAAGTGTATTAAGTTGAGAGAAAAAAGCTAAAATATTGAAGTGTTTAGTTTTTATAAAGAGCAACTCCCATAGCCAATATAAAGTTTTTTGCATCCAAATTCTAAGAAAACAAAATTTAACCAAACTACCATTTTTAATAGATGAATTGTTGGAATGCCTTCTCAAGTTTTTCGTTAAAGGTTAAAAGTCACCAATTTCATTAAATTTTTGATATACTTTAACATCGCCTTAAAAATAAACATCTCAGAGTAGAAGAATTATCTCTCTCACTTTATTAATCGAATTTTTGACTTTTCGTTCTTTCAATTTTTCGATTTTAGAATTTTTCGTTCTTCCGATTTTTTGATTTTTAATTTTTTTAAATTTCGATCCATCAATTGTTCGACTTTTCTAATAATTGATTTGCAATTTTTTGATTTTTCAGTTTCTACTCACTATTTAATTTTGCAGTTTTTCAAATTTCCATTTTTTTTATTTTGCAACTTTTTGAATTTTTAATTTTTTGAGTTTTTAATTTTCAGATTTCCATTTGCAATTTTTTAATGTTTCAGCTTTTCGAATTTTCAACTTCTGGATTTGCAATTAATTTTAAGTGTTTTCAGTTCCTCAATATTTAGTTTTTCGATTTCACAATTTTTGATGTTCAAGTTTTCGATTTTTCAATTTTTCCGTTTTTCGATTTTTCAATTTTTTAGCGTATCGATTTTTAATTTTTTGTTTTTTCAATTTTTCATTTTTCAGGTTTCGATTTATTGACCTGTCGATTATTCTACATATTTTTTTTATTTTTCGAGGATGCAGCTTATTACAAAACGACTTGTAGTTTTAAATTTTTTTGTTTCTTCAAATCTTCGATTTGCAAACAAACACAATT